TAGGGATAATCTAGGAACACTAGAGCAATGGGCTGTGAGACCGGAGTTGAGCATCGCTGACCCTGTAACTTGGTCCCTCAGTCACCATGCTTTAGGCTCTGCAGAGTCCCATCTCTGGCCTGAAGTGATGCTGTGTAGTGGACAGACGGGAGGAAGGTGGTTGAGTGTACCGAGCAGGGCCCTGTGAGTGGCTTCTGTAGGAAGCCGAGCTAAAGTTAGATCTTCCAGCTGTGTGCAGGTGTGAAACCCCACCCTCTCTCCTGCCCCCAGCCTGGATCTCAGAATGTGTCTGTCCTTGTCCCCCTCCAGGCTCCCTTCACACAAGATGAAATGTCCTGCCTCGGCCACTGTCTGATGCTTTCTATATAGATGGCCTCCAGGATGTAGGGGTGGGGGCAGTAGTGGACGATGCACTCTGGACACAGCTGACTCCTCTTTGACCATCAGGGCATAATGTTTTAGCTCCCTCCTGCTGTCCATAAAAGACCCCTGCCTTGACCACATGTGTGCGTCCCTTCCCCACTGTCAGCCACCTTGGAGAGAGCCTTAGACCCTTGCCAGCCATTGCTGACACGGGAAGGAGACCTGCCCTCGTCTGTGGACAGATGAACACTGGCTGTCCTGTCCCAGGTTCGTGGAGCCAGGACTGTGTGATGTCATTGTGCCCTTCTCGCTCTGTGAGTCTAAAATTCAACTGACACAGTAAATGTTTAGCTGTGTTTGAGATCCGATTTCAGGTTAGTTTCCCTGCCTGTTAGGTAAGGAGATGGCTTAGACAGCCTCAAGGGAACCTCCCAACCTGGTCTCTTTAGCTGCACAGGGCAGAGCCTTCTTGGGGAAAGGCCGTCTGTAGGGGTGGTTGGCAGAGGAGGCACAGTGGTGCAGGTGGAGGCTGCAGGGGCCGAGTGGCTGAAGGCCTCTGAGGAGGTGTGAATGAGGGAGGCAGAGCAGGGCTGGTGTGGACAGCCCTGTCCCGGCCTTATCTCCTGTCCAAGACACCCTCTCCACACCCCAGCCCTGATAAGCAGGTGTGAGCCATGGCTGCCTTGTGACAGGCCCTTCAGCAGGGAGGGTGGTGGCGGGGGTCCTCTCCACTTCTGCATCTTTCTTCCCTTGCTCTTGTTTCCCTGCAGGACTAGGCAGGCCCAACGAAATGGCATCATTCCTGACCCTCAGCCTTGACTCTAAGACGTCTTTTTCTGCTGCCTGAGGTTCAGCGAGAAATATGTCTGCCCCTGATTGTTGGCAAAGTGCTGGGGGGGTGTCATCCCATCCCCCACCCCAGGGACTGTTTCTGCAGTGACCCCTGTTGCTGGGCTTGGCACGTTCAGCATTTCTTATCGCCTCAATGACCGGTCCTCTTGTCTCCTCAGTCAGCTGCCAGCCAACTCCCAGCCACTCTGTCTGGGTCCACATTTTCCTCTAAGGCCCTAGCCATTGCTCAGAAAGCCATTAACCAAGCCCAGGGAGCTGGCTCAGCATGTATTAAACCTGACAACCTCAGTTTAGCCCCCAGGATCCATATAGTAGAAGGGAAGAATCAACCCTCATAAGTTGTCCTCTGAACTCCATTTGTGCCATGACACGTACACACGTGCGTGCGTGCACACGCGCACACATACACACACGCGTGCGTGCACACACACACACACACACACTATGAAAAAGATCAAGGCCCTTTCTTTGTTGGTAGGTTCATGAGAATGAGCTGGGTAGAGAAGTCTTGTAGAAAGAAACAAGTTTGGAGTTCTAGAGATGACGCCGAACCAAAGCCACAGGAAACCCTCAGGACGCAGGGTCTCTCCAGCTCCCCGCCCCCTATTCTCTAAACCCTCAAAGCTTAGACTCTAAGCTGAGTGTTCACCTTCTGAAAGCCCCAGGTCTGAAGATTGTCTTGATCTTTCATACTGCAAGCATTCTGTAGCAAACATCTGTGTGCTGTGTGCATGTGTGTGTGCACTCGTGCATGGGTGTCTATGTGCACGTGTGAGAGACTCATGCATGAGTGTCCATGTGTGTCTGTGTGTCCATGTTCATGTCCGTGTGTGTGTGTGTATGAGAGAGAGAGAGAGACTTGTGCATGGATGTCCATATGTGTCCATGTATGTGTGCATGTGTGAGAGAGAGACGCATGAGTGTGTCTGTGTGTCCATGTTCATGTCCATGTGTGTGTGTGTGTGTGTGTGTGTGTATGAGAGAGAGAGAGAGAGACTTGTGCATGGATGTCCATATGTGTCCGTGTATGTGTGCGTGTGTGAGAGAGAGACTCATGCATGAGTGTCCATGTGTGTCTGTGTGTTCATGTTCATGTTCGTGTCCGTGTGTGTGTGTGTGTGTGAGAGAGAGAGAGAGAGAGAGACTTGTGCATGGATGTCCATATGTGTCCGTGTATGTGTGCGTGTGTGAGAGAGACTCATGCATGAGTGTCCATGTGTGTCTGTGTGTCCATATCTGTGTGTGTGTGTGTGTGTGTGTGTGTGTGTGAGAGAGAGAGAGAGAGAGAGAGAGAGAGAGAGAGAGAGAGAGAGAGAGAGAGGGAGACGGAGGGAGGAAGGGGGGAGAAGAGAACATGAGAATGAGATCCGCTCTGTGTGTGGCTCCATGCTCAGCTTTCTGCATGGCTCAGGACACAGTGCAGTGGACTGGCCAAGAGCACAGACTCAAGCCAGACAGGCTGACATGGTGTCCCTTCCTAGCTTTGTCATTTCAGCAGATAGGGAAGCTCAGGCAAGTAGCTTAATCACTGTGTGCCCTGTGCCCCTGTGTAAGCTGAAGCACCTGATTTTAATGGAGGTGGTGCTGTGTAAGACCACGTGAACACCAGGTGAACGCAAACAGCCCTCATAGCACACCCCATGTGACCGTGGGCTACTAATAGTTTAATACATTTTATTTTAATGTCATGTGCCTTTTATGTCAGCCATCATTGTCTGTGTTTTACTTGCTTAGATTATCATTTTGTGTTCATGTATGTACATAACCTCTATATTACACATCTATGAAACAACATGTAATATGATGACATACACATTTTTTTCCCTGAATTATTTAAGAATAAGTTGAAGATAATGGTTTCTGTCATCCTCTAGATTTCTCATTATCTGTTGGTAAAGGTGTACTCTTGCAAAGCCACAGTTGCCCAAATGAGGAATTCTGGCACTGTTGCAACACTGTCATCTAGCCCATGGTCCCTGTTCACACCTCATCAGTCAACTGTGTCTTTTCTCCGTGACGTCTGTTATTTACTGTCCCCGAGTCACCCATTGCATGTAATCGTCATGGACGTCCAGTCTCCTCTAGTCTGTGGGAGGTCATCACCCATTCTTCGTATGTCTTGCCCTTGATGTTCTGAGCAGCTCAGAACAGCACTTCGGTAGAGTGCTGCTGCGCAGGTTCTGGAGGTCTCAGGCTGTGCATTGTGGGTAAGATTATTGCAGAGGTTACTCTGGGTGTTTCTGATGTCAGGCAGCACGTGGTGTCCTTTTCCACGCATTGGAAATTCTGCCGTTGGTTGCTTAGTTTCAGTGGCATCTGCCAGGTCCTCTCTCTACGGTTCCTTCTCCTTAGCACTTAATTATGGGGAGCTGTGTTGATATTCCATTCTTTACCAACTTCCCCCGCCATTTCCACGCCTATGAAATTCCTACTTGGCCCATCCGAGCTGCTCCTGTGTCCTAATGTCTCCATCAGTCTCTCGGTACTTTATGTTCTGGCATAACACAATGTTCCAGGCACGCTTGGTGTCTTCTCTGCCTTCACCCGAACTAACCATTTTACTGAGGAGTTCTAGTTCTTTTTAGTGGACAGTACTGGAAACCAAGATTTAGGTGTTGACATGCTGGTCGACACTGGTGTGTCCCTGCTTCTGGCTGATGTCTCTATGTCTGTTCGTTAGCACGCAGTGATGGGCGGGGACTAAGAAACTGTGGCTTAGGAGAGGAAGGCAAAGGAATGAGATGACCATGTGAGGTCCTCCCGTCCTCCCCATTCCCTTCCCTCTTCTGTCTTCATCATGACTCATCTCCCCTTTCTTCATCAAACATTCCCTTGGGCATTCCAGTTGTGGACCCCTCTGAAGCATTTTCCCCGGCTGCATGTGTGCTATCAGAAGCAGACAACTATGTGACCTTTCTGCGTGAAGAGCCAAAGGCAAAGATAATTCCTGAGAAAGTTTGTGCTCAGGATAATCTGGTGACAAGGTGGCTGGGAAGACACATTTGGAAGGTTTCCACCTGGAAGTGTTCCTTTCTTCTGCATGGAAGTATTCAGACCCAAGCCCATGTGGAGGTTCCGAGAAGCAGCCAGGAGAGTGTCCACACTGGCACTGCTCCCCTACCCACAGGTAGCAGGGACAGCGGAGAACGAAGGCCACTAGAAGGGTTTCCTTGTTATCTAACTGTGGGATAGGTGGGTAGCTGTGATTTCATCCCTGGTTGACTTTTTTGAGCTTGGACTCAGAGTTTCCTCTCCTTGAAGTCCCTGGCGTGCTAAGCCATGGTCCCTGGAACAAGTGGACAAGGATCCAGGAGGCTCTGGGAGGAAGGCTGTCTTCTGGGATTGCAGTGAGGAAAACTGGTGAGACAGCCAGGCATCCACAGCAGATACTCTGAACCAGGAGTCTCGCGTGGTGATGGAGGTCAGCAAGGGCCCAGCCTTGTTTCCCACAGGGCTCATGTTGAATCTAGGGCTCCCCAGTGTTCAGGTTGGACTTCGTGTGCCTACTGTAGCAGTTCACAGGAATCCTAGGGATGATGTGAAGGGGGGCTCCCGGGCTCTTGCTGCCTGTCTTCTGCTGTGAGGTCTGTGCTGGACCCAAAGGGAGATAGATGGTAGTACTGGTTAGACCTCACCCCCCAGTGTGTGCGTGTGTGAGGGTGTGTGCGCGTGTGCGCATGTGCGCATGTGCATGCCTGCATGTGTGTGGGTCACAGGTGTCAAAGGACCTGTGCAGCAGTCTCTGCTTTTCCACCACGAGGGTTTTAGAGATTGCACTTCAGGTCCTCAGGCTTAAGAGCGGGCACCTTTACCAGCCGAGTCAGCTTGCCGGCCCACGTTTTCTGAATTTTAAGACATGGGCTGTGACTGTGTATGTCAGGCTAGTTTCAAAACCACTGTGTCGTCAGGCTGGCATTGGATCTGTGGTCCTCCCGTGTCAACTTCCCAGGTGCTGGTAGGGCATGGCGGTACCATGCCCATCTTGTGTGCCCTCTTTATTGGCTAACAGAAGACGTTTGCACCTTTATGCGGTGTGATGAGGGGGTGGTTAAAGCAACTCATGTCCCCTGTCACCAGGGCTGCACCTGTGCCGCCCCCCACAGGGAGCACCTGCTGTGAGAGGCAGGGTCAGACAGAAGAGACATCAAACCAGTTCGTAGACGCAGTGCATCCCCAGTGGCTCACCAATTGCTCTTGCAGTCTCAAGGGGGCAGCTGGGGTAGGAGGGTCTGCCAAGGAGGTAGTGAGGAGGTCACTGTCCTAGACCTAACCCCCATTGTCTCTCCCTGTAGAGGCCGCTGGCTCCTTTTCATCCACCATTCTCCTTGTCTTGCATGATTCCTTTCATAGAACCGAGGGTAGGTCTTGCCGAAGGTCAGTCAGGCCTCACGAGCAGCCACGCCCCTCACTCCCATAAATGAAAGGATATACAGGAGTGAACCTCTTCTTCAACAGCTCCATATGCCTCAAGTCATCCCCAGGCTCCTCGCCTGGACCTCTCCAGCCGGCACCACCTCCTATTTGCTGGTTCCACCCACGTGGGCCATGCTGTCCTTCTGGAATGGGTCATGTCTCCTCCACCTCAGAATCTCACACTCACTCTCCCGTCTGCCTGGAAATGCCTCTTTAGGTCAGTTCCAACACGACACATCATCCCTACTCTGTCCCTAAATATTGTATTAGTTACTGTTCTCCTCGTGACCAAATACCTGACAAGAAATGGCGTGCGGAATTGGGGAGAGCTTACTTTTGAAGGTGCAGTCCCTCGTGCTGGAGAAGACAACGAGATAAGAATAGCCCTGGGCAGATCAGGAAGCAGAGAAGGGAACGTTTGGCTCAGCGTTTTCTCTTTTTCTTTTGTTCAGTCTGGGACCCCAGCCGATAGGATGTGCTGATACAGTCAGGTGTTCCCTACCTCAGTTAATCTTCTCTGGAAAGGCCCTCACAGTCACAGCCAAATTGTATCTTAGCCATGCCCAGAGTGTTCATTACCGTTTGTTCCTTGGACGCCCTCTGTGACAGCAGCTTCAAGCTGCTGGGCGGTTGGTTACTCCCTGACCCGACTGAGCTACGTATGGGCAAAAGCAAGCCTGACTTTGCTCGTTGTTGTAAGATGCTCCAAACATATTTGCTCCGTGAAGAATGGGCAGATGCCTCAGTTTCCTCAGCAAGTTCCGTGTTTCAGATTTTATTTAGTGACAGGAGGGAGAGGACCCCTCTGGCTCTGGAGCCTCCTGCCAGCCATGGGGTGGTTACTAACGTCTTTCCGGACAGTCGGGCCTCAGCTCCACTGCCCAGCACATTCCCACCCTTCCTTCACCTGTCATGGTCTCTGTAGGCCTGGGAAGGCAGGCAGGGGGCGATGCGTGGCCTGGCGACCCTGCCCTGCCTGATCTCTAGCTGGGAAGGACTTGTGTTTTAGGTCCTCCGAGGCCAGAGCCCAGAGGCAGTGGGTCTTGAGGGTGGCACTCAGGAGATCGCTGGGGAAGAACAGGGTGTGGGGGTGCCAGGGTGCCGAGAGAGTCCTGATGGGGAGCTGTGGCTGAGCAGGCTGAACAGGGCTGCTCACGGTCAAGGAGGTGACGATGAGCGTGGAGAGCATGTTTAGTGGAGACGAAGGACTGGGAGGGGGAGGCAGAGGTTGATCTCTCCCCGGCCTAGCCCCGTCCCTCGCCCTTCGTCTTCCTCACCCTTCTGTACCTCGGCCTGTGGGTGCCTCTGCTCCTCTTTAGTTTGATTGTCTGGAGCTTCGGACGCCCCAGCCTTAGAATGCCTTCCTTCTACAGGCTTCCCACTGCACCCAGCACCCCATCTCCACTCCTCCCTCTCCGGCGACCCGGGCTCTGCTAAGCTGCATGTCCTCTCGTCACCTCGCCTCCATGTCTGCGGCACCTGGCACCAGCCCCAGTTCTGCCTGTGTTGGTTTCCTACGCAGCTGCCCTTCTTCCCACCCCACTGCCCCGAAGGGAGGAGGCCCAGCCCAGAGAGACACTTAAATTGGGGTTCAGGTTTCCTGTAGAGGTCACATGGGCCCCCACAGAGCAGGGGGTTGACTAGGGGAAAGACATACGCGGTGGACTGGCAAGCGTGTGGAGCCTACAGGGTTGGAGGTCAGACCTTGAAAGGCCATTTCACTTCCCCCAATGCCTTCTCCTCCCCCATTACTCATGGAGGATCTGAGCCCTGGGCCCTTTGGGGATCAGGTGATGAGGTCAATTTCTTGCTGCTTTGAGAGCATAGCTCTAGTCCTCCCTGTTGGCATGACTGTTGGGGGTGGCCCTGGGCCATGGAAGGGACCTGCTGGGCATGCCACTAAACAATAATCTGGAACTCACTGGGTGGGTGGCACTGGTTTGGAGGCTCTGCTTGAATAACTCTCTACCCTCTGTCCAGGAGACAACCATTTTAGCAAGGAAGAGCCACCCGGGAGTTAGCCGTGATCATCACCATACTGGACGTTCACAAGGTGCTTACACTATCTGGGGATTGCGGTGCTTTCCTTCCGCGTGTGAGCATACAGAGTCACACACACCCCGTTTCACAGACGAGGAGGTAGAGACAGATCATACAGCAAGCCCCAGCACAGCCACAGAACGCTGTCTCACTTGGGGAGGCTGTTACTTCCAAATGATGCTGAAAGTGTTTGTGTCTCTGTAGAAAGTTCCCGAACAGTGGCAGGGTTTCACCAAAGATAGAACAGCCAATCACTGCATGAAAAAAAGCTCAGTCATTAGCACCGAGGAAATTAAAATTCAAAACGCTGAGATAGAAAACAAAAACCATGCTGGGCGGTGGTGGCATACACCTTTAGTCACAGCACTCTGGAGGCAGAGGTAGGTGGACCTCTGTGAGTTCAAGGCCAAGCTGGTCTACAAAGTAAGTTCCAGGAAGCCAGGGCTGTTACACAGAGGATCCCTGTCTTGAAAACGAAAAAAAAAAAAAAAAACCAACAAAGACACAACCTGGAGTGTGAAGGCTAGTGGGGTGGTTTGGTGGTAGAGGCGCTTGCCTCCAACCTGGTGATGTGAGTTTAACTGACTCCTACAAGTTGTTCTCTGACCTCCAGATATCCAGCTAAACACACACACACACACACACACACACACTAAATAAAGGCAGAAATGTTTAAAAAAGGGTGAATTTTATTGTATGTAAATTATACCTCTAAAGAAATCTAATTTGAAAACAGTGGGCTGTAGAAAGGTAGAGACAGGATGGTCACTGTGTTACATTGTCATTACAAGAATGGAGTCTATAAAATGACTGGGAGATAGAAGTAGATGAGCCTGAGCCCCTCGGAAAGCATTCTGGGCAGAGGATCAGCCAGTGCGGAGGCCTGAGCCAGGGGCGCTTGGACGCCAGCAAGAGAGATGTATGGCTGAGCGCAATAGGAAGCCCAGTAAGGGCCGAGCAGGAGGTGGGGAGCCATGCCTGCCATGCAGGACCACACTAGAGAGTTCCAGTGAGCATGGGTATGGGCAGAGAAGGCTGTGTTAGCTGGTCCCCTGCTGACAGACATGCTAACAACCAGGAACAAGAGCCTGTCAGGAGGCCACAGGGAGAATGGAGAGCACCGTGGCAGCAGCGGAGGCGTTGAGAACCTCCTGGACTTGGGATGTGCTCTGAAGGCAGAGCCAACAGGATTTCCTGCCGGATTGGATGTGGGGTGTGAGGGAAAGAGAGGAGGTACGGATGACATCAAAGTTTTTGGCCTAGGAAGCTGGAAATTCAGCTGGGCATCCCCGTGGTGGACACTCAGTGGTTTTAACTGTCTCCTGGGGCTGACCTGTGGGTGAAGTCAAGGCAGATGGAGGCTCAGGTCAGCTCCCTCCTGGCTCTGTCCCTGGGATGGGCTGTGCACCCTGGTTATCCCATTACACTTCATTTATGGCCTTATTGGCTTTGTCATTTCTTTGTCTCCTGTCTGGGGTGAAGGCTATAAATGTGATGGATTGGTTCAGGATGCAGGAGGCCCAATTATCCTTGCTAAACTGGCCTCCTCTCAGGTAAGCCCTCGTTGCTTCTACCGCCCTGCAGTGTAGACGGGGGCTGGCTCTGACTGTCCAAAAGAGGGGTCTTCCCCTGACAGGGCGAGTAGTGGACAGATGATTTCCAAGCAGAGATGGTCTTAAAGGCAGATCCTGGAGGCAAGCCTAGCCCTGTTTTGCTCACACCTACATTACACTATGCCCCACATACTGGTAGCTGGGCACAGGTTGGGACAGACAGGAGAACAGGCCATACTGCTGGTCAGTCAGCCCACATCCGGGCTTCTGCAGGGACATCACACGCTTCTCAGGCATCCGAGCCAGCCTGTCTCTCCACAAAGGCTGCGGTGGTGGGTCATTTCTTGTCAGCAGCAGGTGCCTGGCAGCTGCCCAGGATGCCAGCCCTGTGAGCTGGCATGGGAGGAAGTGCTTGTTAGACTGACCATTGCTCGCACTGGGCTCAGGCTGGCTCAGCTCTCACCGCTGTTGCTCAAGGTGGCTTGGGTTACCCACGAAGACTGATGCTGGCTGCTTGGCCTTAAGGTCCCTGTAAGACACCCTGCACCTCAGAGAACTGGGCAGCTGTCACCCTTTGTCAGTTCTGACAAAGTCCCTGGCCTCTTTGCTGTCCTCCATCCCTGGGAAAATGCAGAGGCTTGTGGCCTAAGAGGGTTTGGGATGGGAAGCCTGAGATTCATTTCTGACATTTTAGGTATAGGTGAATCCCTGCAGGTGGAGGTCCCACGTAGGCCTGTATCTGGCTTTCTTCCAGAAAAACGCAGAGCGGAGGTTAGTACTGCTGGGGCGGGGTTAGCTGGAGACCTCGGGAGCAGGCAGGGCTCAAATGGAGTGGGCCAGGTGAAACCACACAGTAGGTTATGATTGACCAATCTGCTGAGTCTGCAATATCCTCATGCCTCATTTGTGCTAGGTGCCAGGACTAGGGCTGGAGTCAGGGCTGAGCAAACAGCCTGGCCTGGCCTGGCTGTAGCCTTTAGTCTGGTTGAGACAGGATGTGTGCTCAGAACACTGGGGGCAGGGCACAGGGCGCTGTGGCAGCACGCGTCCTGAAAGAAGCCAGGGTTGGGAGGCACTGGGGGGTTCCCCCGAGTCCATTAAAGATCTCTGTCACACCCTTGCCCTGACCTTGGTCACCTCCCTCATTGTGGCCTCCGCCTCTAGGAGGGCCCACACATATTTCTCCCTGCCCCTCCCCACCTCCTGGACACTGAGTCTAGTGGCTGTCAGGGCTGATGGTGGAGGGTTGATGGCATGGAGCAGGGCAGCTGCCAACGCTGTGGCCCTGGGGCGAGAGCTGACGTCTGTCCAGGAGCATCTCTGTCCCTGCCAAGGGCTGAGATTCTCGGCTGCATGCCTTTCCCCTTGACACAGGAGCTGGCATCTGCCACTCACAGACCCCAGCCTCACCCCCATTTGGCCTGGTGACAGCTGGAACATTTCAGTAGGCACAGGCCTCCTCTCGCTGCCTCGAGCCCGGTCCCAACCACAACAACACTCTCCAAGACAGGTGAAGGCGTACCTCAGGGAGCTGGGGAAGGCCCCACATAGAAGAGATTAAGAACCCCAGACTCGGATGGGTGGTGGTGGTACATGCCTCATGCCTTCAACCCCAGCACTCGGGAGGCAGAGGCAGGCAAATCCCTGTGAGTTCGAGGTCAGCCTAGTCTACAAGAGTTAGTTCCAAGACCACTAGGACTGTTACACAGGGAAACCCTGTCTTGAAAAACAAACAAACAAACAAACAGAATCCGTCTCTACAACCTGACTTCAAGAACAGTGAGAGGCCAGTCTAGCCTGAGGTACCGGGTAGTTGGTATCCCTGGAGTGTGGGAGAGAGAAGGCCTGTACAGCCCTGTGGTGGGGCAGCAGCCTCAGACTTCTTTGTCTTCTCCTGAACTCTATGATCGATGCCGTCCTTCCACGCCCAGCCTCTGAGGGAGGGCTCCAGGACTCAGGGGTGAGGAAAAAGAACATGAACCCACTCCTGGTGTTTCTCTCCATTCTTTTTCAGGGCATATGTCTGTGAATCACATGCGTGCCTGGCGCCACAGAGCTCAGAAGGAGGCGTAAATCCCCTGGAACTAGACTGCAATTACAGATAGTTGTGAGCGACCATGTGGGTTCTGGGGATCAAACCCAGGTCCTTGGGAAGAACAGTCATGGCTTCTAACCACACAGCCACCTCCACAGTCCCTTTGGTATTTCTTTTAAATTCTGTCTTGTGGAAATTTTCCTGAGACATTTATTTGCCGTCCCCTGGCAGGGACCACACAGACACAGCCCTGAACTTCATACACATGTGTGACGGGCTCCACTAAGTCACATGTCCCTACCACACAGGATGCCATGGGGCTTTGGGTTCTGATGCGGATTAAAAGGCCGGTTGTGGCCTACTGGCCTAGGACGTGGACTGCCCTTTGAAAGCCCCTGGTTGGTTGGAGGGAAGCCAATGGAGGTGACCAAGGGTGACCAGCAGTGCCAGGATGGCAGATTATCATCTTTCACATGGGGATCACTTATAAGGGAATGTCACTCAGACCCTTAGTCTTGTCGAGGGTGAACAAGAGTCTGAGAAAGCCGGGCTGAGGGTTTCTGTGAGCAGGCTCCTGTGGAGAAACTTATTAGTGTTCTGTGTCTAGAGCCCTGGGCCTTCTCTTGCGGAAGGGCCTGGGCGACAGGTGTGTGCTCCCTCCTAAACCCAGGCTTTCCGAAGGGGGCTTCTGGAGGCTTCTTGGGGAACTGTGATGTGTTGGACACGGAGGAAAGGGCCTTCCCACGGGTACCGAAGGACGCAGATCACCAGGGATCCCGACCAAAGAGCAGCTCATGGGAAACGGCAGGAAAAGGCACAGCCTGGTCCTCCTCACAGCCCACAAAAGTGTCCCTAACCGTACACCTAGCCTGGAGAAGGCACCCAGCCACTCTGCCCCTAGCACTGGGCATGCTCACGCCAGACTGAGACCCCAAGAAAAGTGATGATAGTCTACTGTTCTGTTTCCCAGGCAGAAATGCCACAGGCTCTGCTTGTTCTCACCCAGGCCCAGGGAGGGGCTTCCCACTGAGTGAGACAGCGAGCTGCAGCGAGGGCCAGTGAGACCGGCTTCTGGTCCATTGGGGGTCCTGTCTGCCCACTACTCTGGAAGCGTCTATAGAGAGGGAGCTGGGCGAGAAAGCTTCAGGATGAGGGCCTGTGATGGGTGGGTAGCTGGGGCATGTCAGGGAAGGCTCCCAAAGAACACTCCTGACCCTGAGAAGAGCGAGGGCTGTTCTGGGTAGAGGGAGCAGCAGCTGGTGAGGCAGGAAGGAAGAGCCTGGAGCCTTGAGGGCTGGAGAGATGTGGTTACAGAGGTCAGCGGGGCCAGAGCCCTTGATCCAGAGGTAACAGAAGCCATGGAGCAACTTTATTCAGGGTTAGTTATCTTGGACTGAAATATCACCCTGGTCACTGAGGGAAGAATGTGGAGTGGATGAAGTTAGCCAAGGAATTGCTTGGTGGTCTCCAAGAGGCAAGACAGACTCTATAACCTAATAAGGAAGACAAGTGAGAACTGAACAGTGGAATTTTGGAGCCACTGAAGAGATGGGGCCCCCAAGGCTTGGACGAGGTGTGTTGGTGTCAGCATGGGCACTAAAGGTGGCATTAATGGACCTGGGGTGAGGCAAGGAAGTTGAGTTCAGCAGTAGATAGCTCTGGCTGGAAGGTCTAGAACAGAGTAGGCTGCTGAACACACCGGGCTGGGGCTTAGTACAGAGGTCCTGGCTTTCAGAGCCACATGGTCCACTCTTTCTGGGAGGGCACGGGGATGGGAAAGCACAGCCGAGAGCCCGGAGGAGGCAGGGCAACAAAAGAGAAAGCAAACCCAGTCCAGCAACCCAAGGGTCCGGTTATAAAGTCCCGAGAGCCACTAACAGCACAGAGATAGCAGGTGTGAGGCTGCGGGAGGACCGAGGGCAGGCTTGTCGGACACATGCACGGCTCTACACGATGGAGCGGTCTGGACGTGGACAGCCGAGGGCTGGTGAGATGTTGACTGTCACTGAACTGCACAGTTAGTTAAGGAGGTGAGTTTAACGCTGTGTGCATCTTACCACTGTTAATATGTTCTGAAAGAGAAGCAGGCCAAAGACTGACTAGCATGGTTTCCAGGTAGGGAAGGGAAGCACTTCCTTGGGCGGCCTGCTGCACAGAGCTAAGGGTTTGCTGATGAGGACAGAGAACATGCTGGGTCTAGTCACAAGGAGGTCCTGCAGGCTGGCAAAACACATGGGCATGTGGAGAGTGGGCTGGCAACACAGAGCCACAGTGGACAGAGGTAGGAAGGGAGGAGTGAACCAAGAAGCCAGGGATCCCGCCCTGAGGCCATCTCTGGCTTGGCACTTGCAGGGTGTGGTTTCCCCTCTCCACAGTGCCCTAGAACAGGAAGTCCTCAAGGTATTCTCTTCTCCCAGAGGGGGGTGCTGCCCATCTGCACCCCACTTGTGCCGGTTGGACCCCTGCCTCTGTTCAAGCCCAGTATGAGCCTGAAGTCATTCTTGAGTCCTGACCGCTCTCCCACCGCCATCACTGCCGTTCTCCAGGCCTGCTCAGGCCAAGGCCTCCACACAGCTTCCCCCAGCCTCTGCTGCTGCCTCGCCCCTTCCTTGGTGCCCCCCTCTGCTTCCTCGCCCCTTCCTTGGTGCCCTCCCCCTCTGCTTTCTCACCCCTTCCTTAGTACCCCCATTACACCTCAGCCCAAGAACAGGCACAGACCGGGTCATGTAAGCCATTTATTAGTTTGTTTGAAAAATAATGTATTTCATTTATACACGAAGCTTGGTGAGAAGTGCTCGTTAATTTCAGACAACACCTGACATGTACGCATGTCCCTCCCACCTTCTGTTGACTCTCTTCTCTCCTCCTGTGCACCGCTGTGTCGTTCTAGAAAAAGAGACCCGTGCCGAGCCAAGGAGTTGGGGCTAGCTGGCTCCCACCCTTGGTCATCCTGTTTGCAGCCAGCCCCGGGCACCTGTCTTAAGGCTCCGAGGCTTTCCACATACTCAAAACCACAGTGTCCTTCCGGCCAGCTGGGATGGCAGCCCTGCCAGCCCCAGGCCACATTCCTGCCTATGCAGCCCAACGTGGGTGCCAGGGAGGGACACATATCTCTCCAAGCCTTGAGAGCAAAGCACAGATCTACAAAAATAAGATTTCCACTCAGAGAAGCGTCACCAGGACAGTTAAAACCCAGCTCTCCCCACACGGGACTCCATGGGGACACTGGTTAAGTCTCCAGGGGTGGGTGGGGTTGGGACTGGTTGCCATCAAGGGAACTGAGGTGGCAAAAAGAAACATAATACTTGACTCGCCCGCAGTGCCCCCCTTCGGCACTGCCACGAGCGTCCAGCCCTCCGACAGCTCGGCGAGGTAGGTAGGAGCAGCCAGCCTGCAGTGGGCAGGTGAGACTGAGGTGGCCTGTGAGGTGGGTGCCCCCCAGCCGAGGGTGGCTCTGCTGGAGAGCTAGACTTGGGCAGCCGAATCCCTGCTCGCTCTGGCTCCACCAGCCAATCGCATCACCTCAGCGGTTTCTCTACATCGAAAGATTTGCATATGCTAAATAGGATTGTCAGCAGCTGAAGAGGTCACGGGGATAATTGGACGAGTAAAATTATTTTTTTCCCTGAAAAAAAGCCTTCTCGGAAGACTCCTGGGATGGTCAGACCCCTGCCCTCAGGGATCCTGAGTCCGGACAAGTCCAGACCCTGTGCTGAGCCCCAGTGCCACACTGCCTCCTTCCCCAATAGAATCAATGGCTTGTCCCCTCCAATGGAACCACGTGGGACCATCCAGGGCCTTTCTCTAGGCAGGGCCAGGCTGCCCTCCTGCTTCCACAGTGTCTGAGGAGGAGCTGAAGCCTCAATGGGAATCCTCTCCACGTGTGGTCAGAGGCAGAGAGACCCCAGGGGAGCCTGGGAAATGGAGACCATCTCCTTTTTCAGATGGGCTGTGCAGCTGCCATGGCTGGGCACAGTTCAGTGGCCCACGTGGATCAGCCTTCTCTTTCCTTGGCTTGTCAGCAGGGCCTACCACAGCCCCGCAGTAAGCGTGCCTGGCTGTGAGTGGGGCTGGCCCTCCTCATACCCTTGGGCTCCAACATTAATACTCTTACAGGAGAGGGAGAAGGAGCAGAATCCATCTGAGACCTAGGCTGCTCTTCGGGAAGCTTTGAATTTTCCTAGCACTGACCTTAGTGGAGCCTGAATAGAGAGGAAAATGGAATCCTGGGGACAACGGTGTGTGTGTGTGTGTGTGTGTGTGTGTGTGTGTGTGTGTGTGTGTG